ATTGAGGCAAAAGTCGTAGTTAATGGTTTGTTAATGGCGAGAATTGGACCTTAAAATAAAGTGTGACCAATATTTCTTGTAAATCTCAACTTAAACATTGATGTAATCAAATTAAAATCTCCTTTTCACATACCTCGTGTATTTTTGTGATTGTGCGTCTTGACACTGTGTCTACACCGAACGCGAGCGGCTGCGCAACGCGACAAAATACTATAGAACCCATTATAATCAGTGATGCTGTCTACACTGGATGCAGCGTGGCACGACACGACATATCATACGTGCCGTCATTCGTTGCGATCCTATACACCGGATGCGACAGTTGTCACGCTGCAACACAACAGCTAAAGTCTGTCTACAATGACTGGACGCGTCACGTGACAAAGCGACCACAGCAAATTATTTGAATTTTGTGTCAGTACGTCATAGATAGAACGAGGCAACAGTTTACTGTCAGGGATTTGTCGTGTCGCACCGCATCCAGATTTTGTGTCAGTACATCATAGATAGAACGAGGCAGCAGTTTACTCTCGGGGATTTGTCGTGTCGTGTCGCGCAGTGCTGCATCCAGTGTAGACCGCAACACTGATTATAATGGGTTCTATAATATTTTGTTGTGCCGCACCATGCCGCTCGCGTCCGGTGTAGACATGGTGTTAGGCCCACCCCAAATGCTCTCATTGGTTGAGACGCATGATGACGCCCATCCCAAACCAGTACTGATCAACATCCCACCCCTCCTGTGACCCATGGTTTGTCTGTATGTGTATTCAGAGCCAGTGAGCAACAGACTTTCAAAATAATAATAATGATAATAAAAACTGCGTTAATGCACGATAAAATAATTGTCGGCATTAATTAATTAATGCGTTAACGCGATAATAACACTTTAACTTGCCCAGCCCTAATATATATATATATATCTATCAGGTTTTGTCAGATATGACCCTTGACAATTTTTTGACAGGTTTTTCAGAGATTCAGCAATTTTTTATTATTGTTATTACTAGTATTACTATTAATATAATTTATTTATTTTGTATTATATATTTTTTTTACATTTTGATTTAAATTATGACCCTTCACGGAAATCTTGACAGATTTCATGTGATTATTATCCATAATAATATGGATGAATCCCACAAAATCTGTCAAGAATTTGTCAAGGGTCATGTTTCAACCCAATTTTGAAAATAAATAAATAAATAAAATAAATAAATAATCATAATGACAATGAATGAAGAAGAACATTTATTTATTTATATTGTTTTATTACTTTTTATTTTGGGTATTATGTGATCTGAGGCACAGCCACGCTCATGTAGATGCAGCAGCAGCAGCTGTAGTATATTTCCCTGCATCTGGCCTCATGTGAGTGGAAGTTGCTCCATGTAATGTGATTATTCTGTGTCTGTTCCAGTAAATGGAGAAACAGAGACGTCTTTGGGTGTTTTGAGCGCTTACTGGTCAACTGAATGAAGGAAAAGACTGATCAAAACTGGCCAAAGGCAATGCGTGTCTCATTTTGATACATTTGTGTAGAAATATAACACATTCACAAAGAACATATTTAAAAAGATTTTATTGCTCGTTTGATGTACTTCTAAAGTTCACAATGCAAAGCTCCCTTGCAAGAGCATTTTTCCTAGTGCTTGCTCAAATAAATCAGCCCTATTATTACTATCATTCAAAGTTATATATTTGATCAGACTCCTAACCGAGTGTCCTGACTCGTCCTGTGCTACAAACCGTGCTTTCTTCAGAAAATGCAAACATCTAGTTCATCAGTGAAATCTAATTTATTACAGAAATGTATGTTGTTGTTTTCTTCTGATTTCAGATCAGTCTTCAGTGCTTGGAGAGTTTTCTGTGCACGTTTCACTGTGTGCGACAACTCAGTGACCCGAGAGCAAAGGATGCACTCAAATTCTGGTAAGCCGTCTTCTTTTTCATGTTTCAGTTGACAGTTTGTGTTCAAAGAAATAGTTACCCAAAAATGTTGAAAATCATTGTTTCATTTGATCACGACTGTCAAGCAGAATTTTGAATTTGTTGTTTCACTGTATTTCATCTGTTTTTTTGTAACTAAATAAAAACACTGACTCGCTGCATCTTTGTCAGATATTTTAAGCACAGATCACAGTTCCTGATCAGTGTTTTTTGTGTAATTTACTCAATTACAGATCCGCCATCAGTCAGTTGAACCTTGTTTAGATGAACTAAAATCATAGCAACCAGTGACTAGAGCTCATGTTAATTAGCATTGTGTTGAGAGAAGCTGATTGTTTGAGGCGAGTGATAAAAGGCTTTCTTTGTCTGGCCCAGTGGCTACATGCCGTGTGCTCAATTAAGTGTGTTTTCTCAGCTCCTAATCTTTATCTCATGATCATGTGCAGTTCCTGGAACTTTAGCCGAAACACAGGAAATGGAAAAAGCTACAACCCGACTGATGTGAATGCATATGAAACCCTTTGACCCTTTCAAATCTTTTATCTGCTTTGAGTGAGATAATAAAGTAATTAATTTGTTAAAGCAATAGTCCACCCAGAAACTAAAACTGGATTTATTCACACCTTTTGTTGTTGCAAACTTGTCTGATTTCCTTATATTCCGTGGAGATATTGAATCATTTTTCCTTTGTTCCACTTTACCAGAAGCATATTGGCAAACTGGGACAGGGAGACACTGGTAAAGTGGGACAGCATATCAGGTTATGAGTTTATTATTAACTTGCATTAGGGTTGGGCGATGTCTACAAAATTGGCATTGGACGATGTCTGCAGTGTGACATTGGCGGCGCGGGGGGTGTGTGTTTGTGGTGTGCCCAAAGCGTGAATCCTTATAAGGCACGGAAAACAAATAACGATTCCTAACGTGTCTACACCGGACGCGAGTGGCGCGGCAAAATACTATAGAACCACTGATCTATAATAGAGATGCATTATAGATCAGTGTATAGAACTTATTATAATCAGTGATGCTGTCTACACTGGATGCGGCGAGGTGCGACACGACAAATTCCCAAAAGTAAACTGCTGCCTATTTATGATGTGCTGACACAAATTTCAAATTATTTTCAACGGTCGCTTTGAAAATAAATTATATTGAACTGTTGGTGCGCAACACGTGTCCAGTGTAGACAGACTTTAGCTGATGCGGTGCGACACGACAACTGTCGCGTCCGGTGTAGACACAGTGTAACGGTTGCCTGTTACATTACAGTACATAAAATTTCGCTTACCACATTAACAGAGTAAGGAGAGATGACTGAGGA